ATTAGGAACCTCTTGAAAGTCATGGAACTATCTGGCGACTCCTGCGGTGAATGGTCTTGCATAAATCGGGACGGCTGACGTGGGTCTAGAATATTTTTTTTTTTTCGAGGGAACGGGCTTTTTTTTTTTTTTTTTTTTTTTTTTTTTTTTTTTTTTTTGGTCCTCAATAAAAATTCATTTTTGCTTTTTTACTTCTTCTTTTCTTCTTCATCCCTTTTTTATGATTCTTTTATACTTTATTCTACCACAGCATAAATTTGTCTCAAACTCGTATATTTTTACGTATTATGCTTAGAGAATACCTGTTACCTTGTGATGCCCACTTTTACGCACATTACGCCAAGCCATTGGTCTGTGCCCATTCTTCACAATTTGACCTAGACGTCTTTGACACATTTAACAACAACAACAATAACAACAACTACTACAACACCACCACTACAGCAACAACTGCAACAGCAACAGCAACTACAACCTCTCACGATAACAATGACAACACTTCTCCAGGCGTCGATTTTACTCAAACTTTTGTCGAGTTTCAAAACGATCCTACGGCACAATACGAGATGCATCCCAAGTTTGGCAGATATGTAAGTAGATTGTTAAAAGAAAAGAAAGAAAGAATACAAGCTATTTCATCCTTTATTTAACTCTGTTTTACTTTACTATATATGCATGATAGGTATGGGATATTGGAGATCAATGGTATCAAAAGTGGAATCTTATCTTCTCTATGGAAAATATGTGGCAATGGTCCGGTCAAATACCCACTCAATCACAAGATCCTTATTCACTGGAAATGTTACAACCTTGGCTCAATCATATCACTGAACGACATTGTATTCATCCTCACCATCGACAATTATTGGAAAACATTTGCGATTATCTCTTTGACTGGCAAAAGTCGAATAAACCTCTCTCCAATTGCAACGCGGGCACCTCTCGATTAAATACCATTCCATTTTATCCTCCTTCTTGGTTTGTGGACAAGGAACGACAGAATCATGTTGAAAAAGGTGATACTCTGGCTCCCTCTTACTTTGCTAGCTTTGTGCCTCCTTATCGCATTAATGGCCATACACCTGAACGGTGGGATAGGGTATTTTTGAAAGGACTGACATTTGATCCTACGAATGAAGTAAGTAGTACTTGTATAGCTAATGATGAATGAAAAACTAACAATTTCAATCTTTTTTTTTTTTTTTCGTATATAGAAGTTTGATATGGATCCAACTTTTATTGCTCGTATTATCCCCTTGTATGGTCTCACTGTCCACTATGATGAAGCGACTGGATACAGCTACTTGATGATGGTCATGCGCAAGGCTTCTTTTGGTAATCTGGAAACCAACATTGAAACCGTCATTCCAACTGACTATCAAAAAACTCGGCGTCAAGCATTAAGTATTGCCAAAGCTGTCAAGGATCTACATTGGGAATACATTCATGGCAACGTCCATCCTCGAAACATTCTATTCAACTTTGACGACACGATAGGCGAACTGGTGGATGCGACATTTATGCAACGAAAGAAATCAACGCCATCCATCGCCGCCCCGTCAACTTTAGCTGGTGTTCTTGGAAAAAGTAGTACCAATATGGCAACTAACGGATCACCGACTCCACCACAATCACCAAACGACTTGCCACTATCTTTTATGGAACAGGAATGTCAATCCTTTTCTATTCAACCACTGGAAACACATTCTTCTGCGACCATACACCATCATCATCATCTCATGAAAACGAAAAAGGGTGACAGGAGTGGACGATGGCCTTATGTTGCTCCAGAAGTGGCTCAAGGTTTATCGGGTCCAACAACTGAAGCTGACATTTACTCTATTGGTGTGATTCTGTGGCAACTGATATCCCGCGTTACCTTTCCTGCTAATGCACCTGTAGATCCTTGGGTGTTCCGAATCGAACCTATTCCTGGTGTCTTGTCTGAATGGGAGCAGCTTTATGCCGACTGTCTCTCTCCTGATCCTGCCAAACGACCTAGTGCTTACATGGTGTACCGCCGACTGGAAAAGATGAACATTACTGCTCCTCCTGTCGTGTCTGTCTCAGCATCTACCCCTGAAAATAAACTGGAATCACCACTACCTTTGGCATCAATCTCTGTACCAACATCAACTACCTCATTATCATCATTATCCACCTCTTCATCCAACACTCTACCTATGTCTCAAGATACTTTGGATTATATACATCAACGAAGAAAAGAAATTAATGAATTTATGGAAAAACACAAGGGCAACTTTTCTTCTTCTCATCAACGTCTTACCAAGATTCGGGACGATGTTATCCTTACTGCTTCGGTGACTCGATCCATCAATCATGGCTTGGAAAGCTATCCTTCTCCGTTGCAAGGATTCTTCTAGGCGTTGGCATATCTCTTATTTTACTTTACATACACATTCCTCCTATACACATAATCTCTTATTACTTGCCCATTACATATCATTCTTAATAAACATATCTTATCACATATAATTGTCTTTGATTGTCTGTCAGGCGGGGATTCAATATTTATAAAAAGTTAAGAAAAGGGCGCCTCCTTTTTCTTTCTTTTTTTTTTTTTTTTTTTTTTTTTTTGTTTCATTCTTTTTTATATACATCATGGAAAACACAAGGAAACGTGCGGCAACAGTGGATAGCACTGTCAACAAGGAAAACAAAAAGAAACAGACCACCCTCTTCTCCATGTTTAAACCCAAGGAAACAACTACAGCAACAGTCACCGAAAAAACCACGACCGTTGATAAAGAAAACGCCAACAATGACACCGACTCCTCTTCCTCGCTTGATCTTGCCAAAAGTTTGTTTGAAGATGTGGACGATGAAACAAAGAATCTTCTTCACCTGGAAATAACGACAATGCACTATGATTGGCTTCGGGTACTCAAGCCTGAATTGACTAAAGCTTACTTTATCAAGGTAAGAAATAACCGTGGGTATATAATATTTATTAAGCATAGTAATTTGATTCTTTTTATCTCCAGTTGAAGAAGTATCTGAAACAAGAACTATTGGACAAACAAGTGATCTATCCACCGGCAAAAGATATCTATAGTTGGTCAAACTACACCCCTCCTTCCAATGTCAAAGTAGTCATTATCGGTCAAGGTAAAAATGAAAAATAAAAATAAAAAGTGATATACTAGCCATTAGATATTGACCCTCTTCCTTTTTTTCTTTTGTCTTTAGATCCGTATCACGGGCCTAATCAAGCACATGGATTATGTTTCTCTGTGGTCAAAGGTGTCCCTCCTCCTCCTTCTCTGGTCAACATCTACAAAGCTCTGATGAAGGATTACCCTGATTTCAAAAAACCCAATCATGGCTATCTCGTAAACTGGGCGAAACAAGGTGTATTGATGTTGAATACTTCATTGACTGTACGTCGAGGAATGGCTGCAAGTCATAGTAATCAAGGTTGGGAACCTTTCACTGGTAAGTACAAAAGAAGGTGGATGGGTGTCTTTTATCTGATGTACTAATGTTTGGAATAATAGATGCTGTGATTAACTATTTGAATGAAAAAAAGTCAAATCTTGTCTTTATGTTATGGGGCTCACATGCTCAAAAGAAGGGCGCCAAGATTAACAAATCGGTAAGAGAAAAATAGCAACAATACTATATACAGGAAAACAAAAACTAATGAATGAATTGGGGGGGGGTTGAATCATGTATAGAAACATCTGGTGCTTAAATCTGTCCATCCATCACCTTTATCAGCACACCGCGGGTTTTACGACTGTCAACACTTTATCAAGGCTAACGAATTCTTGGAATCAAAAGGCCGTCCCTCGATCAACTGGAACTGTCTGGATGACTAGACAGGACTTGGTTTATAGTATGTAGGCCATGGTAAATAATAGCATTAGTAGTATGTATGTATTTTGATGTGGGTAAATGGGTCCGTGATATTGTGCATAGTATTAAATAAATAAAAATCATTGACATTAATCTGCTTCATGACTCCTGTACCTGAATTACCAAAGACTTGATGTCGATGGTGATGTGATCCGTACATTTAGCATTGTGTAAGTTTAAACCCCCGCTTTTGTTAAATCATGTCATATCCAGGGCGATGATCACTCTTATATAGTATACAACACATCTATTATGTACTCTATATGTATGCCCACGTTATGTTTTATACATAAATAGCCAGTCAATCAGCCAAAAAAAAAAAAAAAAAAAAAAAAAAAAAAAAAAAAAAAAAAAAGACAGATTGAATTGGGTGCTGATATCAGCCAGAGCCGCCCAATATGAAGGTATAAGATAAATCAAATAATAGTAGCTTTATTGGTGATATTAATATAAATAAGGGGGGGAGTAATTCAATGGGTACTATATCTACAAGGTTTACGGTGTGTAAAAGAGATGGCCAAGGTAAACCAAACAATCCTGATCGTATTGAATGATGCCGAGTAGATCCTATTTATCACCAAAAGATGGTGATCGCAAATATCCATCCATATTGTCGGACTACCTGTATCCTATCCACCATCACTGTTCTTCTTGGGGATAATGGGAAGAGTCGATTGTCCAAAAAAAAAAAAAAAAAAAAAAAAAAGTGTGTTAAACGAATTCTCTACTTACGCTGTTCCAGTATCGAGTGTCCCGTTAATCACCTCCAAAGAATCTTTTATGCCCTTTTCACTTGTTTCATCCATAAGTCCGTCGAAGGAATGTAGATTTGATGGCCTGCGTTTCTGTAGCATGACGTTTGAATTGGCACTATAGTTACTTCAAGGAGAATGATTGGTATTATACTGTTGTTCTTGTTTTGCATGTAGATAAAATCAAGTAAAAAGTGTGGATGAATGTTTTAATTCAAATAAAAGTAGAGGGGAATGGGAAGAAGGGGAGCTGAACATTTTTTAAAATCAAAACCAAAGACCGCCATGTACCAGCCTATCGGAATAGCTCCCGAGTCGGCGTTTCAAAAAGGTAATTTATATATAACTTATATAATTTCGAACAACGACTCCCCTGTGGCCTAGTTGGTTTAAGGCCTCGTGCTTATAGTTAAAACTATGTAAGAGTCACGCGAAAATCGCGAGTTCGATCCTCGCCAGGGGAATTATTTTTTTTTTGTTCCCAGTGGAACAGTGTCGGAGATAAAAAGTGATTTTCTCTGGAAAATTAGATATCAATCTGGAAATTTCTTTTTGTCTCTTTCTCCTTTCTCTTCTTTCTCTTCTTTCTCTCTCGATAAATCTTTTAACATCTAGATGCTTCGATATAACCAATTCAGCCATAGACTCCGATAATAGAATAGTATATATATATGTGTACTTTACTTTTAATAAAAACCTGATTCTTCACCTGATATATAAAAGGAATACTCGTCTTATAGTTCAAACGACACTGGTAGCTTGTTTACGTTTCGATCCTCTGGCTTTCCTTTTGGTACGGCGATACTTTGCTCCTGGCTTGCGTTGGTGAATCTTTGGGAATTGTTGGGGACAACAATTCTTAAGGAGGGGCAAGTACATGGTTGGAACAATGCGGTGAATCTTGGACGTCTAATCAGCAAGACATACATGGCTTGCTGTTGGTGATATGGATGCGTAGCTTACATACATACTATTGGTTCGGTGACTCTTGAATTAGTATATGATGGACTCCTATGGCTAGCACTGTGCTTAAGTATATTATCTGGTTGGCTCGCTCACTCTCTTCAGTTCCTTTACTATTCGGCTCTCTTAGTATTGGTTCTTACTGGCTCGTTCGATGTGCATGATTGGCTCACATTTATTATGATGATACTAGTACCTTCCTCCCAACTATGGTTCTTTAATGTTGGTATTGCTCATTGGATGACTGGACTCACACGGTTGCTTTGAATGAATGGCTGAACCTTGGACCTTGACATGTATAATTCTGTTGTGTTCGATTAGAAGATCTTTATTATTATTGGCGACTACTATTGGATCAACGAACTATTCTTGCTTATTGGATGATGGAACATTGATTTATGGATCATTGATTAGGATCACACTTACTGCCTGGTTATCGGCTAATGAATCTTACGACGGTTATGAAACCTGCTTTGTTAGTATTATTGGGATTGCTCGTATTGTCTGGTTTATTTACTTTGGATTATTTGGATTATTGACTCGGATTACTTACTTGGTTTACTTGGTTTACTTTCTCGGATTACGTACTCGGATTATTTGGTTTACTTATGTGGTTTATTTGGACACCTTACATGGATTACTCGATTACTTTGGATTATTATTTGGATTATTGGATTTAGATCGTTCAGTTGGATCACGCCGGCGGCATGGACGGTTTCAAGTGTGAAGACAATTATGATGAACGGTGGACTCTTTCTCTCTTTTTTTTACGGTACGACATACAGCAAAATGAACAATAACAAGCAATGGGAAAGGTGAATCAGCAGTGTTTAGCGATAACAGGAACAACAGCATGAATATGGACAACAGCGGATACTGCTTTATGGATGTAATTGACGTTATGGTATGGATCTCGGTGGTGCCTGATTTTTTTTTTTTTCCCCTTCCCCTCGGTGTTGCCCTGGTAATTCGACCTTTTTCTTTTGGACCTTACTTGGAATCGTGGTCGATTCTTCTCCCCGTGGGGAATGATGTCGGAGATAAAAAGTGATTTTCTCTGGAAAATTAGATATCAATCTGGAAATTTCTTTTTGTCTCTTTCTCCTTTCTCTTCTTTCTCTTCTTTCTCTCTCGATAAATCTTTTAACATCTAGATGCTTCGATATAACCAATTCAGCCATAGACTCCGATAATAGAATAGTATATATATATGTGTACTTTACTTTTAATAAAAACCTGATTCTTCACCTGATATATAAAAGGAATACTCGTCTTATAGTTCAAACGACACTGGTAGCTTGTTTACGTTTCGATCCTCTGGCTTTCCTTTTGGTACGGCGATACTTTGCTCCTGGCTTGCGTTGGTGAATCTTTGGGAATTGTTGGGGACAACAATTCTTAAGGAGGGGCAAGTACATGGTTGGAACAATGCGGTGAATCTTGGACGTCTAATCAGCAAGACATACATGGCTTGCTGTTGGTGATATGGATGCGTAGCTTACATACATACTATTGGTTCGGTGACTCTTGAATTAGTATATGATGGACTCCTATGGCTAGCACTGTGCTTAAGTATATTATCTGGTTGGCTCGCTCACTCTCTTCAGTTCCTTTACTATTCGGCTCTCTTAGTATTGGTTCTTACTGGCTCGTTCGATGTGCATGATTGGCTCACATTTATTATGATGATACTAGTACCTTCCTCCCAACTATGGTTCTTTAATGTTGGTATTGCTCATTGGATGACTGGACTCACACGGTTGCTTTGAATGAATGGCTGAACCTTGGACCTTGACATGTATAATTCTGTTGTGTTCGATTAGAAGATCTTTATTATTATTGGCGACTACTATTGGATCAACGAACTATTCTTGCTTATTGGATGATGGAACATTGATTTATGGATCATTGATTAGGATCACACTTACTGCCTGGTTATCGGCTAATGAATCTTACGACGGTTATGAAACCTGCTTTGTTAGTATTATTGGGATTGCTCGTATTGTCTGGTTTATTTACTTTGGATTATTTGGATTATTGACTCGGATTACTTACTTGGTTTACTTGGTTTACTTTCTCGGATTACGTACTCGGATTATTTGGTTTACTTATGTGGTTTATTTGGACACCTTACATGGATTACTCGATTACTTTGGATTATTATTTGGATTATTGGATTTAGATCGTTCAGTTGGATCACGCCGGCGGCATGGACGGTTTCAAGTGTGAAGACAATTATGATGAACGGTGGACTCTTTCTCTCTTTTTTTTACGGTACGACATACAGCAAAATGAACAATAACAAGCAATGGGAAAGGTGAATCAGCAGTGTTTAGCGATAACAGGAACAACAGCATGAATATGGACAACAGCGGATACTGCTTTATGGATGTAATTGACGTTATGGTATGGATCTCGGTGGTGCCTGATTTTTTTTTTTTTCCCCTTCCCCTCGGTGTTGCCCTGGTAATTCGACCTTTTTCTTTTGGACCTTACTTGGAATCGTGGTCGATTCTTCTCCCCGTGGGGAATGATGTCGGAGATAAAAAGTGATTTTCTCTGGAAAATTAGATATCAATCTGGAAATTTCTTTTTGTCTCTTTCTCCTTTCTCTTCTTTCTCTTCTTTCTCTCTCGATAAATCTTTTAACATCTAGATGCTTCGATATAACCAATTCAGCCATAGACTCCGATAATAGAATAGTATATATATATGTGTACTTTACTTTTAATAAAAACCTGATTCTTCACCTGATATATAAAAGGAATACTCGTCTTATAGTTCAAACGACAACAGACAGATCGGGACTTTAAAAATGTGAAGCTTGCATTATTGGGATACACCTTATGTGTTGCTTAGATTCATGCATCATCATTCGCAAACTTCTGTTCTTTCTTTTTGGTCTTTGTTTTGCAGATGTGATGATTACAACAGCGCCAAAAGAGAGAGAGAAAAAAGGAGGAACCAAAAAAAAAAAAAAAGAAGACATGATCAGGGGTAAGACAGGAAGAAGTGTATCATATGACAGGAGGAAAAAAAAAAAAAAAAAAAAAGGTACAGTACTGAATGATAATGTGAGTGGTATAATTGGTTTCATTTGAATTTATTATGATAATCGCACAGATGGTGAGTATATTTAAATCCAGATACAAGTCCGTTCATGCATTAATGAAGAAGGTGCCTTTTCTATTTATTTGTTAGTTAGTCGGTAGATATATAGAATAAAACGATTTGATAAAAGGAGGATTTTATTTCTTTTATTATTAAAAGGGACAAGGATAATACACAAAGTAAATGAGAAGGGCGAAGGAGGGGGGTAACTAACACATTGCTAAAGATCAAGGGGATGTATGGGTTAAAAAAAAAAAAAAAAAAAAAAGGTGCTGGTTGGGGGATAAATGCACATAAATGGAATAATGGATAAATAAAAAACAAACAAGATTTTAATGAGCTAATACTAAGGACTTGTGACGAGGCGTTTCCGGTTGTTGTTGTTGTTGCTGTTGCTTTTGTTGTTGCTTTTGCTCCCTTTTCGCATGAATGGCAAGTGGAGAAGAAGGTTGGAAAGGTGGTTGTAGTTTCTTTTCAATGGAAGCCGGACTTGTTGGAGGAGAGATACGAATTGGAGTTGAAGTAGTAGCGGCATTGGTGATGATGGATTTCCTATCCTTGAGAGATTTGCCATTGATATATAAATCCATAATATTACCATGATCACCTACTCGATAGGATACAGAGGAAGGATCTATCCATAATACGAATTCTTGAGGAAGGTGGATAAGGAGTGTCGAAGGAGATATAGAGACTTGTTGAGCAGCTATTAGTAATATAATATGTTAGTTTACACTTGTTCTTCTTGATGACGATCCTATTCTTTTTCTTTCTTACCTTGAGCCAGTAAAGGGTCCAACTGACCATTAAAGATGGAAATGGCACGATAACCATTACCACGGTAGGGGCAGTCAATATCCCAGTGATGAGCAAAACGTTCCGATAACAGTCCATATAACTTGTCTTTAAATAGTGTGATAAGAGACGGATCCAGTTTTGACTGTAAAAGTCGGCCCACAAAGTTAATAGCTTCAGTTATTTCTTGATGCATAGAATCTTGTCATATATATATATATATATATAAGGGAAGTGGAGGTAAAAAGTAGATGTTATAGTTTATTTATAGTTGGTGTTATTTAAAAAGTTTTTTTTTTTTTTTTTTAAAAAAAAAAAAAAAAAAGGAAGAAATGAGAGAAAGAAAAGAGAAGACGGAGAAAAATCATGATAGAGAAAAGGCAACACCTTTTGAGCTAGATCGAGATTTCGAATCCCGCCAATAGTTTCAATTCTTTGTTTCTAATTTACCCACCCTTTGATAACATACATACACATGGTATTTATAAAAAGATGGAATAGTATCATTTGTATGCAATTATTCCAGTATAACCATTTATTATGCTATACATTTTGTATACAGTATGCCAATAATCCACACACAATGAATAAAAAT